AAATAATAGTATACATATATACAATGAAGAACACCAATATTTCAGAGATGAAATCGAAACATACAGCTTTAACGCCCCAGATGTAAAAATTGGCGTACACATTGATAGATTAAAAACTATCGTAGTCGTCGGTGAATGTGATTCGCCATGGTTTATCGGTCAGTCACGCGAATGTGCTCAGGTACGCACGTTACTTTAAATTTATATTAAAAATACTTTATATGTTGATTTTTATCTAGTTCACTTTAAACTCCTATATTTTTAACTTTCAACTTAAATTTCTGAACTTTTTTTCTACGCTAAATAAAAATATATAAGCCGTTACTTTTCATTTCAGAAACTTCTTACAGTGGTGGATAACATACAATACATTTTACTTCGTGAAAACGTTGATCATTTCGACATCGTGGAAAAACTCATGGATGAGGAGTTCATCTTAACGAAAACAATATTGAATAGCGTGTTCAACTGAAAAGGAACAGCTAATATAAAAATAATATTAAAATATAAAACTTAAATTGATTAAATAAATAATATTGTATGAAGGTCCTGTATGTTTTCACGTTTTTAACAAATTTATTTATTTATTATGAGAAATTAGTGCGCTAGTATAAATCTGTCTCCACTGCGTCTGCATTTGCCGATCGATTTGAAAGCACCGTGTAGTCGGCAGAAAAGTCGAATTATAAGAAATACGGAAATAGTTCGTTATTCTATTCCAATTTTCAAGCTATGCGTTCGTATACATGTCTATATTTATTTAAAATTCGCTGATAGACAATTATTGACGCAATAGGGTTGCAATTCTCGGTATTATCGAGCAGCTTTATTGATCGGCCGACACAGTAGGGACACAGCTGAATGCTGTCTAATTACAAATTCTTCGTAAAAAAAAGTTATGATTATGTGATTTTACATAGTCTATCGTCACCGACCGATCATCTGTTTTGTGTAACAATGATCAAGTAGAAATACTTTCAACAACCTTGAAAATCATTTGGATCGTGATTTTTCTGAATAAGTCTTTTGAATACGCTGTGGATGAATACCATTTCCTGTCGTCGGTGACGTTATTATTTGATTAGATTGGGGACGTATATTTGTATTAATTTGTTTTTTTCGTTGATTAACGGGTAATTGTATAATTGTGGCTTTCGCACTTGGCTTGCCTCCTATTTGTTGCTGGGGTGCGATTTCTCCTCTTTCTAATGAATTTCTATTCCACTTAATCACACGTGCAACGTAAGTTTTTCCAATTTTTGAATTATTACCCACTGGTACCATTAGCATCTTGAACTCTTTCTTAGCAGGAAACACATTTGATACAATTGGAACTTTTCCGTGTGGAACTTTTGCCAACTCTTCCTTTGGTGAAGTCTGCGTAAGATCCACTATATCGATTGGTGTTCTAGATTGGTTTTCACTCTGTTTATCCATTTTCCCATGACTATCTTCCCAGGTAGTCGGCGGCTTAGCAAAAGAACGTACTCTCAATAATGGCTTATCTTCTTTTTCATTTTCTTGAACCGCTTTCTTTAGCATATCCTCTGGCTCCCTTATTTTATCTGATGCATCATCGACCGCGACAGATTTTTCTACTACAACATACGTAATAAAATATTTATATTCATCCTTGAATGATTAATTCTTTTTCGTCAACATTATACTTTCAGACTAACCTTTTGTTTCATCAATTGGAATATCATTATTTGTCGTAATTGGCAATAATTCTGTCAACGAAGTACTCACTTGGGTTTTCAGATTAGACGATGCTTCTTTCTTTTCTACTGTCGATTTTGAATCACGACTACTTTCACAATTATTCACTTTCTTCGAGTCATTAATTTTTTCTGACTGTGGACAGTTATTATTGTCCTCTACCGTATCGCTCGTTTTCTGTTTTGTTTCTTTCGTCTTGATATCATTCGTATCGATTTCCTCTCTACGAAAGTTTGTTTCACTTTCTATTTTAATTTCGTCTACACTATTTTCTTCCTTGTCCGTGCTAATATGATCCCATTGCTCGATATTTAAATCTGCATCAATATCGCTGGCACCTTCATCTTCTATACTATCTTCGTCGTATTCATCATCATCGCTCTCCCCATCATTTTCTTTTTCAGGCGAGACTTTAGAATCAACTATCTCATCCTTCAGTTTTTCTTGTTTCTCCACGTATTCCTGAAGTACATCTGCTATTTTCTTATTACCTTCCAATTTGCTTTGTCTCAACTGTTCAGCTAATGCATAATCTTTCATTGCAGGATCATCCTCTTGATTTTCGAGGAACATTGAAAATGTATCCCAATAATCATTTCTCCTACACAATTGCAAATGATCCCCTATTTGGGTGAATGCTTTTCTTGCTATAAAAAAAACGTATACAAGAAATAAAATGTCAGTCAAATACGACAAACGGTTTTGATAACTTATTAATTTTTTACTAGCTTACCAAGTTGTTGTTGTTTTCTATTATCCAAACCTAAATTATTAGTTTCATTACATTTTTTAACAAGTTGCAAAATGTCATGGTAATCTGGAAAGATTAGTGTTTCTGTAAAAGCACTTATGTTCTTTGCTTTCTTTCTCTTCAATATTTTAGAATTAATGAAACTTGTGATAGCATGATCCACAACAACAATTCCTGTTGGACTAAAATGCTTTGGTCTCAAGAAATGTCGGCCCGCATCAGCATTTTCTCCAGTGTATTCACAATATTTATTGTAAAGCTCTACCATTCGTGCCTTATATCTTGCTTGTTTCATATAAGTACTATTATTCTCATCATTAAAATCTACTTCTTCATTTTCGTATCTTTTTATGTAGTTTTTACATTTTTCCATCGCCTTTTCTATTTTCCTTATTATTTTACGTTTCTTAATATCTTGGTCTGCATCGTCTTTTTCATCTGAATCATTCGTGCATATACTATCACTTGTGTGTGACGTGCTTGGAACTGGTGTATCCAATATATTAGTTCTATTTATATTGTTTACATCTGAACAACCATTACTATTCGAGACTGAAGTAGATTTTCTGTTGGAGTTATTTTTCATTTCATTCATTACTTCAAATAGATATACATAAAGTTTGTTTTTGCTATTGATTATTTCATTTCTTTTTTCATTTAAAAAGTTACAAAAAGCTTCAGAAACGGCATATTCAGGTTGTAATTGTTCATGGCGTCTTTTTAATTTGTTGACGATAGATCTCATATCATCAGAATGATCTTTTTGTAAACACAGACTAATAAACATAGGAAATACATCTTGCCCCAGAAGAGAGATACTTTTCTTCTCCTTCACGATCAACGTTGGTTTTATACATTTTTTTTTCTCTTCAGTTTTCTTTTCAGTCTCCTTGCTCTCTTCTACGTTCAATTTACAAATTTTAGCACTTCTTCCATTCTCACACATATCTGCACTATTCTCACCATTAAGATCGTTGCTGTTGTTCATTTCAGAGAATTTTCTTTTTTGTCCCTGCACTCCTTTACAATCATTTTTATTTTGAGTCACTTCTCTTTCACGAGTATGGACATCATTGTTCTTTAATTTTTCTATGACTGATATTTGTTTCTTGTCTCTAGTCTGAAATAAAGATACATAGCTTTGTAAGATTTTAATCTCTTTTACTATAAGTTATAACTTAACAATGATAGAATTATGTACTTTTAATATAGAAGTATGCACAAACCTGTTCTATATTTTCATCGTCATCTGATGAAATACAAATAACTTCATTTGAACCACTCTCCATCTCTATTTTGCCCCGAGTTGGTAGAAAAGATTAGATTACATTACAGAATGTAAAACTATGGAATTCACTATTCAGTTTATGGACAGGTAACGAGAGGTTAACAATGCTCCTATATCTGTATCAAAAACATTTCTGCTAATCAACAGATCATATCCTCATTTAGAAATACATACATTACTATTAAGTGAATCACTTCATTTAACTCCACAACATTGTCGATGTGTTTATTCGTAAGAAGACAGTATTCGTTCCGTTTTTAGAATCACAAATTCTAAAAAATGACGCCAATGCGAATACAAGATTTAGAGTAATTCGCAATTCACTCAAATAACCTACCAAGAACTAAAACCGCTGATGACATGTAACAATAACAATGGTAGCAACCGCAACATTTGGTTATTTTATGTGACATGCATACTGCATAGATGTGAGATATACCATGAGATATACTAACCCTTTTATACTTTTCGTTCCGAGAAATATATCACTATCACATAGGCGGTGAAATCATCGTATAGTTCTGTGGGAAATAATAAGATGTATATTTTACGCTGGTCTGATTCTGCAATGGTGATTGGTTGTTGATATATGTCTAAAATTTTCAAAGTAAACGAATTTGTAATTGTAAAAATAAAATTATATAGTTTATGTTGACATTTGCATCCAGATTTTCCTGTGTCAATGTCTTTATAAATTAATGCTTATTAATATATTTAAATTATACTGTATAATATGGAGGAAATTATACTGGATATATATACTGGAAGTTTGAACCTGGAAGTTCAAAGGAACACCGCTGAACACCGCACCATCTTCGCGCCACCTAGGAATCATCGCGTAGCGTAATGATTCTATCGTTGTGTTGCCGTTTACAGTGTTGGGTAATTGTAAATATGTCATTAAACACAGGTTATACGTCGTACGTCGGCTCGAAAATAATTTCGTAACTGCTAAGCAATCTCATCCTATTGTGTACATAAATGATGTCAATAATATAAATCCGTAAGCGTTTCTAATAATTTCCTTCTACCATGATGGGAATATTGTATGAGAAAAGGCCATTGAAACGGCCTAAGTTAGGGCCGCCTGACGTTTACCCTCAAGAACCGAAACAGAAAGAAGATGAACTTACTTCGACGAACGTCAAACTTGGCTTTGCGACGATGCCTCAAATGTCCGAAGAGTTCGGCACGGCGAGACACTGTAACGTCACTGCCGCGAAAGTGGGAGCGTATTTTAATGCTATTCTAGCAAAGAAGGAGGAGCTCTCTACGATGCCGGACACGGCAAGGAAGCGGCAGCAGATCAACCCGAAGGATAATTTCTGGCCAGTGACTGCTAGAACAAAAAACGGTATCGAAGCATGGTTCAAGGATCTCTCTGGATGCAAACCGTTAATAGCTCTTGCGAAAAAGGCACCTAACTTCAATAAGAAGGAAGAGATATTCATGATGCTTTGCGAGTACCAAGTGCCAATGTTGAGAGCTGCTTGGTTTATCAAGCTTAGCTCTGCATATACAGTAGCAGTTTCTGAAGCCAAGATAAAGAAAAGACAATTACCAGATCCAACTACAGGTCGGTCAATAAGTTCCATGTATTCTTACTTAAATGATTCAATTTAGATTATTTTTAAGCTATTATTGTAAATGATTTTCTTCTTATGAATATAGGGTATCTCACCTAACTCGAGCATCTAAAATATCTTGTTTGTTATATCATTCCATTTAAAAAAAACTTCGATGACTTTGAAATCTTAAAATCATCTAATGAAATCTGAAATCTTAAAATAATTTATCATAATATTTGTCCCTCTGAACCAACTAATATGTCCCCCAGCCTTTTTTTTTATGATGACAAAAAAGGGAGATATTTTAGATGCTCGAGTTAGGTGAGACAACTTGTATACATATATAATATGATTTCCTTCTTGTAAACATGCATGTTATTGTTAGGTAACTGATTATTTTCTACTCAATTTTTCATAAGACATGCAATATTATTGCGTTGAATTTAACATGATCATCGAAATTAGAAATAATTGTTTCCAATGGCTCCTTATAATGTCCTTCGTTTCTTTATTTAGAGTGGACAGGGACACTTATCAAGTTCTTAAAGGATCAACTTTCGAAACTTCAAGAATACTATCACATAAACAATAGTATAACAAATGCAGCTACCACTAATGGCATTACAAATAATTCTTGTAATGGAAACAACGTTGGAAGTAACAACAGTAACAGTAATACTAATAGTAATGTTAGTAATAATACTAGTAGTAATAATGGAGTTGCCAATAATCAGCCAGCCACACCAAATTCAAGTTGTCAAGTAACACCTGGAAATGCTATGAATGAAGAGCATAAATTAGCATTGAAACAATGGCATTATTGCATACAACTGGCAAAATATATGTTTGAAGAAGGATTGTTAGATAGGCAAGAATTGCTACAATGGATTTTAGAATTATTAGATAAAATAAAATCGTCTCCTTCGGAGGATGGCATTTTGAAGCTTTTATTACCACTGGCGTTACAGTATCTAGAAGAATTTGTGCAATCTGAATTGTTAGCCAGACGTTTAGCATATTTGTGTTGTCGCAAATTAGCGCATATGTGTAACAACATGGAAACCAACAGCAATCCCCAAAGTCCGTCCATAAACAAAAGCGATGTCAATGGTGGGAAAGACACTGCCAGTACTAGTCAAACGCAAAATCCATTAACCATTGCTTTTAACGATTATCTGTCGTGTCCACATCACAGAGACGTAATTTACAATCTATCAACAATAATCCAGGTAAAACAATTATTTTGTATTTAGGTGTAGTTTAATAATAATTTGCAATTCTATACTCTGGTAGGTCATAACATTGGAATGTCCTACCGCATTAGTTTGGAATAGCGTTGGCGAAGGAAAAGCATCATCAATGTTGAACGGTTCTCCTTTGGATTATTTACCATGTCTTCCTACAGCTTTGCCATGTCCAGCAGTGACTGCTACTAATCCTACGCTGAAACAACTGAAAATCGCTCAAGAAAATATTCGCGCGAGATCTCAAGCCGCAGAAGGGAAATGGTCATGCGATAAATGGCAGCAAAGCAGTGCCGGGATAACGACCACTAAAGTACTGGCTGCCCTGGATGCTCTCGATCGGCATAGTTTCGATAGAATGGATTCTACCAATTCCTTGGACACTTTATACGCCAAGATATTTACATCTCCACCGAAAGATAATACTAATGAACGAGACACGAAAACGGAATATAATCCGCAACAAGACTCTGCCGTGGTTGAAATTTTATGCGAATGGGCAGTTAGTGCTGAAAGATGGGGTGAACATAGAGCAATGGCAGTCGCGAAGTTACTTGAAAAACGGCAGAGTGAAGTTACCGGGGAAACGAATGATAATGATGATAAAGATAGTGTATGCAGCAATGGAAATCCACCTGTGCTGCCGATCTTTCAACCATTACTCATGAAGTTTTTGGATGTGGACGCCCCGGTACTAGATAATACAACAGCTCAGTTAAAGATTCAGTTTACGAATTTGGTTCACTTATTTTCAGAATTAATTAGACACGATGTATTTTCGCATGATGCGTATATGTGCACGCTTATTTCACGAGGAGATCTTATACAAGGTAGAGTAAATACCACGACTAACGGTTACTATTAAACAAATTTATTCTAATCATAAAATGTTTAATTAAAAATAATAATATTACCTCAAATGTAAGTTCTTGTAAAAAGTATTCATTTAAGATCACCAGATTCCTTTAACGATAAACATTTCCGTGATTTTAAATAAACAACACGCACTTCTCTACCTTGTTTAGGCCCTGTGGCTAGTAAACCTGGAACTCCTAGTAATCGAGAACCAATGGATGAAGACAGCTTGTTTCCAGGAATAGATTTAAAACCAGCCAAGTTAGAAGTGCCAGATCACGGACGTACGATGGATTATGATGACAGTAAAATTGATGACGATTTAGACAAGTTGTTGCAACATATTAAAGAAGACCAGCAAAATAGCATGGATGCTCCTGATAGTCCTAAAGAAGATGCACTTGGTGGGCATGGTACTCAAGAAGGATTGGATTCGAAAATGTCATCGAGTCACAGTAGACATTTGTTGTATACAACGCATTTCCCACTACCACAGGTACTCATCAAACTATCAAAAATAGTATTCTTTTTATTTATGTTTTCTCGATATTATTCAAATCTTTCACAAACATTATTCTGTAATTGCGCGCATCGCAAAATAATACTGAAGGGCATGTAATTAATAATAGTTACGTTTTCAGGATGAAACGTGCAGCCAACATGACTGCAATCAACGACATGTGTTATTGTATGGAGTGGGTCGTGTCAGAGACGAAGCAAGGCATATTGTGAAAAAGATGACGAAAGAAGTGTGTAAACTGTTCGGAAAGAAATTCAGTATTGACGTCGCTGAGGGTGGAAAGGTGAAGAAACATTCCCGCAGTGAATTTAACTTTGAGGCTGTTACATTGAAGTTCCAGAATCTCAGTTACTTCGATCAACACGTAGTGACGTGGCAGTGTGCGACTCAAGTGATAGAAATGTTGAACACATTTGCGCTGTCCGGCTCCTCTTATTTACCCGTGCAAGAGCACGTAGCGTTTCTGTTCGATTTAATGGAACTGGCATTAAACATATACGGTTTGATTGATGTTTGCATTCAGATACTGAAAGAGTTACCAGAAGTTGAGACGCAGTTAGGAATTAGAAACAGTCAACTTGTTAGAAGTTATACCACGAATTTAAGCCTATATGTTGTGGGAGTATTAAGAAGATATCATTGCTGTCTATTGTGTAAGTATCATCGCGCAGACATGAGATATAAAGTGTAATCGCGATTGTGCACATGATGATTTTATTAAATTTAATTATTTCAGTATCTCCGGAACAAACTACGGCAGTGTTCGATTTACTTTGCAAAGTTGTGAAGCACGTGTCTAATCCTAGCGACTGCAGTTCCGCTGAACGATGTGTGTTAGCTCATCTTTACGACTTATATTCGTCATGCTCTTTATTGAAAACGAAACCACATGGAGTGGAAGCATTTAGTAACGCTTACCCGAAAATCCGGACAGCTCTCTACAGCACATTGCAGCCGACGACATCGAGCCATGTATATAACTCGCAGTTCATGGTGGACGTTTTTACCAGTCCAAGGCGCGGAGGGAAGATCGAGCCACAGTGGGCCAGACAATTGAATGAAACACCGGCAAATCGTTACAGCTTCGTTTGCAACGCAATCGTTGCAGTTTGTAGCGAAACGGATAACGATAAACTGAACGATATCGCGATAACGTGCGCGGAATTAACAGCTTGTTGCAACGCGCTTAACGCCGAGTGGCTAGGAGTTCTCATGGCCCTTTGCTGTTCGTCGAACAGTTCTGCTTTTTATATTGATGTGTTGAATCAAGTGGACGTACAAGATTTGAGCATACATAATTCTCTAGCTGTATTCACGTCAGTTTTAATTGGTAGGTGTTCTTTCATATGTCGTAATAATTATCGTGAAATTAATAAGTCAATTTTGAGACAAATATAAAAATATCATTCGACTAGTACTAATGAATAACGTTTCATTTTGCAGCAAGACACTGCTTTTCTTTGGAGGACTTTGTTGTGCATATAGCACTACCATCCTTGGTCAAGGCCTGCAACGAGGGTCGCGGAGATGCAGACATGGAGGCTGAAGCTGGAGCACGTTTAACTTGCCATCTGCTCCTGCGGCTTTTTAAAACGGTCGAATGTCCCCAACCGGCACTGTATTCCGTGAGCACGAGTCCCCATCCTCTACCGAATGGGAACTCCAGGGGTTACAGTATAAAATTAAGTTGCGATAGACACTTACTGGCAGCTGCTCACAATAACATCAGGGTCGGTCCGGTTTTAGCTGTACTTAAAGCTATCCTAGTCGTCGCCGATGCAACTGCTGGTAAACAACCTCCAAAGAAACCGGACGTACCCATGAATCATTCGAGCAAAGCGGGTGGGCCAGCCAGTGTTGGCGTTGTTACTGCAAGCGGACCAAGCGAACTGTCTATCAGTCATATCCTAGGTACCAGTGACATTCTCGGCGGTGGTGATGACTTGGGTCTTGACCTAGCAATGTCTTCGTCTAGCAGCAGTGCTGGAATGACCACAGAAAACGTGAAAGGTTTGTCCGATTTTGCGCAACACGTCCTGAGACAAATCTGCAGCCAAGAATGGGTACTAGAGAGATGTCTACAAAATCCTGAAGAACTTTGCCATCCTGATATGTTGCTCGACAACATGTTGACGCCTCGTCAAGCTCAGCGATTACTCCACATGATCTGTTACCCAGAAACTTCTACGGATGCGTTTATAGATCAAAAGACGCATATAACGAACATCCTAGAGAACTTAGAGCAATGGAGTTTAAGAATGTCATGGCTCGATCTGCAACTTATGTATAAACAGTTCCCTCCAGCGTCGAGTGATCTTTCACAGTGGCTGGATACCGTCGCCAAAGCTGCGATCGATGTATTTCAGTTGAACAGTGTCTCTAGTAAATCGGACAAACGATCCGGTTCGATATGGTTAGTCGCGCCCCTTGTTTCAAAACTGCCAAGCGCGGTGCAAGGTCGAGTTCTGAAAGTGGCAGGTCAAGTATTGGAATCTGGTAATTGGTCGAAAACGACGACGGGTCGCGAGAGGAATAGATCGAAGTCACCTTCTCTGTTCAATCATCAACCGTTCCTCTCGTTAGTGCTCACTTGTTTAAAAGGCCAGGACGACCAAAGAGAAGGTCTTCTGATGTCTCTGCATTCGCAATTATCGCAGTTCTTGAATATCAGCAAGGAGGAGAAGAACTTCGCTGCCGAAGATCCGAAGACGAGAGAAGTGTTGCAGGATGCTCTGCAATTAAGATTCAGCCTCGTGGGTGGTGTTTTCGATACTATACAAAGAAACACAACCGCTACCACAGACTGGGCTATCTTATTAGTTCAGCTGGTTAGCTATAGTGTTATAGATTTAAATAACAATTCCGAATTGTTTACGACTGTCATAGATATGTTAGCAACTCTAATACATTCTACTTTAGTGTCTGATTCGCAATCCGAAAAAGATGAAAATAAGAAACATTATCAGAATTTGATGAAGAAATTGAAGAAAGAACTCGGCGATAGGAACTCTTCGAGTATTCGATATATTAGACAATTATTACCTTTACCTAAATTGACGATGGAAGTTATTACGTGCGAGCCTGTTGGATGTTTAACAGACACCAAAGGCAATAAAATAGCTTTCGATAGCATCGACAAGAAACAGGTAAGTTAAAATATTTTCTACTACCTTAACAAAAAACAATAGTTTAATGTTCGTATAACTAAATATAATAATACATATTTAATCAGGGTTTGCGAGTATGCGATTCTCAGAGGGTATCTGCATGGGAGGTATTAGAAGGTCACAAGAATCCAGCCCCAATTTCCTGGGCCTGGTTCAGGGCAGTTAGGCTAGAGCGTAAACCTCTTACTTATCAAAATGCTCATAAACTTTTGCGATATCATACGCATAGTCAAAATAGAGCTCCTAGTCATTATTTGGACCCACCGCCGTTACCGCCGGAAGACTTAGAACCAGACAAAAAAGAATCCGAACCTGGCAAGGCTGACACACCGATGAGTATTGATTCTCCTGGAAGAGTAGCGGGTAACATTAACAATGCTGGAATCGGTAATGCTATAACCAATGGCAAAGGGAAAGCTATGAAGACACGGCGGCACAGGAGGAGTAAAGGAGCTGCTACTCCAACTACACCTGTTACGCAACAAATTCAGGTTTCTTTCATTTTGTTCAATTTTTTATTGGGTTAGCTACATTTGAACCATGTATATCCATATCCTCCATCCTATTGCTATTAACTAATTTTTTATATTGTACAGCAACCACCAAACCAACTTCAGCAGATGACATTTGGAAATCAGCAAGTAGCTGTAAGTCAGCAGCCGGGAATGTTCCCCAATCAGCCGACGCAGCATCAGCAAGCCTGGTACAGCAATCAACAGGCTCATCAACCTGCTCAGCAATATGGATATGGTCAGCAATTGCCACCAACTCCAGTTGGCCCAAGATACGATAGACCAGGCATGAATAATCAATCGAAACAGGCGCTTTCTCATATGTTACGACTACGGTTGCCGTCTACTCAGCTGATGACCCCGCAACAACAGCCGAATGCAGCACCAGTCGCTGGACCAGGAGCGTTTCAAGGAATGCAACGGCAACAGTTCATTAGACAAGCATTGAGAGTTCAGCACGGAGCTCCGAATATCAACCCTCAGCAAGGAATGTTTGCTTCGCAGCAGCAGCAACCACAGCCGCAGCAACCAGGAATTTACACTGGAATGCAACAAGGTAAATGGAGATTCGGAACAGAATGAAATCTGGTTGTTCGTTCTGTTTCGAATACGTTTCCTTAAAACGGGTTCCTCATCGTTTTCCAGACGTTCATTCTGCAATTTGTTATTCTAATATGGTAATCATCTTAATGATACTTTTTAATAGGAATGAATCAAAATTATGCCGGATACGGAGGCCAACAGATGATACCACAACAACAGCAACCGCAGCAGCAACAAGCACCACAACAGGCACAACAGCAGCAGTTATTACAGCAACAACAACAGCAACAAGGTTTGATGAACCAACAGCAGAGCATGATGTTCACTAATCAGCAACAGATGATGGGACCTCAGAGAGGTCAAGAATACATACCTCAACAACGTATGCAACCTGGAGCTACAAGACCACCGTATCTACAGGTACCATTTGCTCCATATAAGTTGATTAATATATCATATGCCGTAATTCCAGGAGAGATGGACCGTGTTTTTATAAACGTCCAAAAAGAAAAAAATTAAAATTCCGATTTTATTCTCAATTTCGTAAAATTGAAACTTAATACTGAGAGCGACGCTCGATCGCTTTCGGTAAAACGAAAGAATACTGACGCGTTCCCCGTACGGCGAATAGTGTAGGAAATACTGGCCTGGTCCGTCTCTCCCGTCAGTCCTCCTCACTCGGGACTACCCGGTATAAGTAAAGGGAAATCATCAATTACTTTTTTCAGGCTCCGAATGTTACGATGAATGCGATGGGTCCAATGGGTGGTGGAGTGCAGAGTCAACCAGCACCGCCGTATAGACAAGCAAGCGGAAAACCTGGCACAGTTGGGGTGACGGGTGTAGGTACTACCAATGTGAGCTTACAACAGAATCAACAATTCCAACAGGTACATTTGATCATTCTGTTTCAAATTCCTTTGAAGAAATTAATCATTAAAATCATGAAGATTTTAAGCAAGTTAATGAGATTAAACGATCGATAATCATGAATATCATACTTATTTGTCACCGCAGCAGCAGGCAATAAATCAGCAGCGAATGAGGCAACAAATGCTCGCGATGCAACAACAGCAGCAACAGCAACAAGCGCAACAACAGCAGCAGCAGCAAGGTAACACGGGTGGGCAACAACCGACACCGCAGCTGGTGACACATTTGCAACGGCATCTGAGTCAACCACCGCAACATTATCAACATCAACCACCGCCCTACTAGTAACTTAATATGTATATAATTAATTAATATGTTGTATAAGTGAAATTTACATAAACACATGTAAAAATCCAGAATTTTAAGAGTTAACGTAGGTATGAATGTGCAACGCATGCCACGGCAGAGGCAATAAAGCGAACGAATTTCGGAAAAGTACTGAAAAGCTATTCCTATAGCTTTTCTCTTGAAGTTAATGCATATTGTACGTATACTAAATGTATTTAATTCATGCTTTCTTTAAAGATGTTTTGTAAGGCCTGTACTCTCAAAATTCATACATTGAAATGAATTTGCAACTGCAGCTGAGGGTCAGTTTCTTTTTCTGAAATTAATAATAAATTAAAACAAAATTCTGTGAAGTTAATAACTAAAAATATGTTTGACGCAGGGATGAGATAATTTTTCCCTCGGCCGGAAAGTGGGGTCGACGCGACCATGGTGGGGACTGGTACTTGACGGGGGTATGCTAGGCATAGTCAGCGAAGGCGCATGAGAGGAATAGTAGTGGGAATCGAAATACGGGCGAAAAACAGGAGAAGCGAGTCGTGCGGGAAAAATTATCTCATCCCTGGTTCGACGTATATCATATGTCATCACATTCACAATGGAGAAAGAATAAATTGCATAAAAATTAGACATTCGCACGATTGAAATTTATTGAACATTAGGCCTGTATGTATATCAAATAATAAGTTTCGAGAAAAATAAACGTAAAAAATTCGGAAATCAATTATCAAGCCTTTCATAGTTAAAAACTATTTGATACTCTGCATATTTCATAAAGTGTGATTATGAATTTTATTTTAATTTATATATTTTAGTTGTTTTAAAAACATTTAGATACTAAATGTATCCATTTACCTTTGGTGTTATTTCAATGTATATAGAGATGCAAATGTCAGAAAGCTTTCTAACATGTTAATTATTTATTCATGTATGATATGACTAGTTACACTATATCCATACTTCTTTGAATATAAGTAATTTTTATTTATGTTTATTTCTCCTTCCTCATTGTAGATTTTATTATTTACTGTATAATGAGAATATGTGTATTTTTTCATTTCCAAAATCTTCCAGTTCTTAGATAATATATTGTTTAAAATATTAAAATTCAAATAAAACTATTTTAGTGCATATTTTTTATACTAAGTGGTATATAATAATATCTTGTCAATTAAACAGAAAAAGTATAAATAAAGAATTATTGCGTTTGTATTCATAATTTACTGCGAAATAAGTATGTAACATATAAAAATAATCGGTCATACTTTCTAAATTCTTCTTGCCGATTTACCTGAAATTTTTAGGAGTGAGCCCCATATCTGAAATTTTACTTTCTAGTATTTATTAATTTTCTGACTTCCGTATTAATATTTCGAAAATACAAGGAGCTAAAATTTTAGATTTAGGGTCTCTTTTCTTTTATCGCCTTCCCTAAAAATTTGAAATCCATTAGCAACATGGGGTCTTTGAAAAGAACAGCAGTGGGGATATATTTATAACAATTCCTCACGATAATCTTCTTAAAGATATAACTTTTCAAATCACCACGTGTAGATCGTGGGCGATCGCGGAAGATGTTTATAATAAAAAGAAAAGCTCTGCATAGGGATCAAGACTGGCAGTCAAAACGATTTGAAATTATGAAGCAACTGGAAGAAGAAAGGTCGTGGCTACATCCGTACTACCATAAAAGAACAGTATGTAGATAAACTATCTTTTTGCGGCATCATCAGGGGTGGTGAGTATGTGAGTCTGCGGGCCATATCCCCGATTCGATTCTCGTGCTATGTTGAATGGCCCCAGGCTTGGCGTGTGTATCTAATGTTTCATTAGTGGGAAAAACAACTGAATTCAAAGTGGGAGTTAAAAGCTACAGTGGAGGAGGAGTCAGGGCACGTCATCTCTGGTCTACGCTTACTACGCATATGGAAGCTGCATCCGCTTCCGGTAGTATTTGTCCTGAGGTGCCTAGCCTACATGGACGGAATAAAATATGGCTGAAATACAGTCCCCTGTTCCATTGATAGCACTTTTTATGAATCAGCCTATATAATTTAGTAGATATGGCTCATACAGTCATGTTATTGCACGTTACGCGTATTAAGTAAGTTTTTGATAATGCATTCGATCGCGCGGTTCGAAAATAGCATCAATACACTTAATACATTCATGGAAAAAAATATTATATCTAAATTGATTTATATTTACATAGAATACTTATACATAATATTGCCGTATATTTGATTGTTTCTTTTATATTGTTTCCGTTCTATTACTAACATTATTGATTTTACGTGAAGTGGCTGTAAAATTTTAAAATACGTAGCACATTATCAAAATAAACATGATCCTGAAGTTAAAGAGATTCTGAGTTCCGTTATTTCTTGTTACAGTTTCATTTAGCCAGTCTAAATATAAATCTGTTCGAGCATACACGCCTGGATTATTAGGTTTACCACAGCCTTTTCCCCAGGATACTATACCCACTTGCGTGCTATTGCATAATAATGGTCCACCGCTATCGCCCTAAAATTTTGTTTCTATTAAAGGAAAAGATATATCAAAGTACAGTGTAAATTACTGTGCAAATTATTATTACAAACTTGACAAGCATCTACTCCGCCTTCTAATACGCCTGCACATAAGTGCACCTTGTCATTGGCTCCTTCGACTGGGCATTTTTCTGGCGGAATTAGCGACACATGTCCATGCCGAAGATATGTGCCGACTCCTTTCTAAATAATAATATATTACCACATTACAATACTATATGTATATTATATAGTATTAGTCTCTCATAATCTAAAGTACCAAACTTAATAATAATTCATAATGATTTGTATCGTTTCTTAATAATCTTTCATATTTCATTCAAATTTTGTAAGTGTCATACGTTTGAACACGGGTATACGTATCAATTCTTCGTTAACAAATTCTGATAGACAGATATAATAGCCGGTATTTAGAATCGTTACTTATATTTATAAAAGCAACGACTGTGAATTCTAAATACCGGCCAATGTTAGCCTGATGTTAGAAAAAGATTAAAAGAAAAATTCACAAGTTGAACAATTCTAAATAAGAGATATTAAATTAGAAGTATTAAAAAAGAATTCATATCTTGTAACCGGAAGCATTTGTTCCAAAAATTCTGGAACGTTGTGCTATGTGGTATTAATTTTCCAAGAATCACCGTACATTTGCTATAACAACCCATACGATAGGTTTAATAGATTGGCCCTTTCCCCAATCGATCGATGAAACAATTTTTGCGGATGACAGTAAATAACTAGATGCGGTTAACTACGTACATCAGATCCAGCTACGTATCGTCCCCAGCCAACCACAGTACAGCGGTCAGTGTACGTTTTGTAAATGTTTGCATCATAGGCCAAAGGAAGGGTGGAGTATTGCACGTACGAAGTGATATGAAAGGGGTGCTTCAGCTGAATAGGAAAACAATTGTGATAACGAATTAATTAAATTGACGTATTTGATTCTAGTATCTCTTTCCTTCGTTTTATTATAATATGCTTCGTTTTAATATAATTTATTCATGCTCCATACATAATAAACGTGAAAATAAAAGAAAACAGGATATATGGATATATTACAAATAATAGGTGTGTTCAGTTGGATACTGCTGGACACAGGTGATCTTTTTAGTAAACTTCAGCTCTCCCATTTTTGTCACACACTTTTTTTTTGTTATTTCTTCCGTTTATTTTATTTTCCACATAGAGTTTATATATACACATAATAGTCACCCTGAACAATCCAATATCGTTATGCATGTTCGAGAATCTAAAGTTCATGTGTGGAAATGTCCCGTCTATCAATTCCATCTGTATGGTGCTCCAGGATGGAAAGTACACGTAACTAGCTCCGGCGATTATGTAGAATCGACGTGGATGTTCTGGTACCCAACCGCCTCTGAACGTCTGTCTACGTGAATGATTTTGTCAGATCAGTTTTCCATTATATCTACGTTCCATTTTCATTTTCTGTTCAATTCTGCAAACGTACGCGTAAGAAGTTTCGCGCGGAACAATGTTGATACAGAGTAATTAATCGTGTAAGATTATCACGGGCGGCCACTGATTTCTTTCCTTATTATTGTTTTTTCTTTTTTGTTTTGTAAGCGCAGAGGAAAGCTGACCTCACACGGGAAACAAAATGTGTCTTGACAGTCGATGAAAAACAGATCAAACGATTACAAAGATAGTCGTGTCGAACTAGCGCACTTACATCGTCAATTTTCGTTAGGTACTTTGTTGGGTCTCTCGTTTAGTTTTCGATTGTTGCGTCGCATTGGGTTGTTAAACGTTAATTACGCCGCCCCACTCTTTCACTGCTGTGATTGCTACATTCGTTGACGTACACCGCTATGTATGCTGATCGATATTAAGTAGTGCGATCGAGAAATAAAATGTTACAGAATTCTTTCAGCACGCTCAACATTCATCCGTTAACTGGGTGAGGGGTAATGAATTACAAAAATATTTACTAAAATAAGTGATAAAGTAATCAATTTTACGTTTTAATTAATCATAAGTCGAAAAACAAGGCTGCGTTTGTACTATAATGATAATGTAATATAACATTTTTTCTTTTATGTTACCGTAACGAATTCATAAAACATTTTGCATCTCATTATTCATAATGGCGTAGAACGTACAGGACATAATTCTAGCGGTAGCTGTTGTTGTGTAATTTTATTGGAAAACCAAAGTAGACTTGAACGATAACTCTGGTTATAGCTACAATTATTAGCTCGAAAATATAGTGACATTAATCTTCCTAGCTGATATCGATTTGATGAAAGCTTTAAACTTTGCACGTATCAAATTTCCAATTATGAGTACTTAATAAATAAAATTGAACATAAAATAAGTACGAAGGATACTTAATTTCGAGATCCAATATCAATAAAAAAGAGCCAGTTACTTTAAGTTTTTTACGAATAGGAGATTGTTAACACGTTTTGTCGAATAGTGTAGACGTAGTTGAACAAATGATTGTAACAATCTATTGTAATATGTTAGATAACAAAATTTGAAACAAATTTGTTATATAACAATGTTTTGTTACGTAGTGTAGACGCAGCGTAAGGTATATTTTTAATCAAAGGATAACCCAGTTAACAGTGTGATCGATAATTATTCCTTTCGCATTTGAAATAGCTATACTCGTCTTTTTGACGATCTTCTATTGAACGTCAATACTCAGTGAATATTTTTCTATAAATTTGTTTAAAACGTACTAATCTATGTAATCTAAACAGATGTACTAATCTAGATTGCATATTCAGCAATCTAACGATTGACGATCGCATTTTTCATTCGGAGCTGCGATCTCAGTAAAACTGATGCAACTATAGTCTGTTCAAAATCAATTAACTGATCCTTGGCCGTTTCCATTCTCCATCGTTACGAACGAAATACTTCACAATGTCATTACGTCGTTATCCTCACTATAAAATATTTGGTACGAGGAAAGGATAACAGTTTTGAAAATAAATTCAATATGAAGTGCGCGTGATAGTAAAAATAAAGTTCAACAGTTCTGAGCCTCTGTTGTATTTAGTAGTTCATCATAAAAGGCCTTGGATGGTTAGTTAATTCTGAACGAGTTATAGTACAAATTTTTAATATTGCAAAAATTTCGTATTCGACACGTTCGAAGATCTCAAAAGCAGCATACATGTCTATGAGAGCAATGAAAGCGCTACGAGCGGAAATTGCTCTGTAACCATAAAATGGTAGCATGAAAGTTAGTTGATTGTAAAGGTAGACCTAATAAATTCAATTCTTTACCATCCAAATTTTTAGTGAAAAAACTACATAAATTGTTTAATGCATATTTAATTTAAAAAAATTAACTAATCTCTACGAAATTCTTAGTACAGCGAAAATTGGAATAAATCAATTTTATACTCTCG